GCTCGAACCCGTGGCTGCTCCAAGGGAGAAAGGCAAGGCTGTCTGCTTCCATAAGGATGTCCAGTCCCAGAAACCCCGGGAGCAGTCCTGCCCTGTCTTGCCGAGTCGCCGTGAGTCAGGATCAACTTGACAGTGGTGGGTTGGGTTTATCAAGCAACTGCCAACCTTGCTTGTTGCAGGACTCCACTCTCTGGCTGCGAGTTTGGGGCTGTCATTTCATCTCAATTGATTATAAAGCCCATTGCTGTGGGTCACCCGTATGCTGCACGCTGTAGGGTCTTCCAGAAGAGATCTCCGGGCCTTTCTTCTGAGGTACCTCTGGGTGGCCTCACACCTCTGGCCTTTCCGTTGGCACCACCCAGGGACCCTCCTAGAAAGCCCCACTTCAGACTTGCTGCCAGCGAGCGGATTCTGACTCCTAGTGACCCTTCAGGACAGAGTAGAGCTGCTGCTACGGGTGTCTGAGGCTGTAAATCTTCAAGGGAACAGTCTCATCTTTTTCCTGCGAAGCAGCCAGTGGGTTTGAACCTCCCACCTGACCTCTAGCAGCCCAGCCCCTTATCCATAGTGCTCCCAGGAACTCCTTACAGGGACGCCCCACCTCCAGCACCCATGTGCTTCAAAGCCTGTGGGATCCAGATGGGAGCAGGAGACACTTGACCCATGAGGCCAGGAGGGTGGGCAATGCTTGGCATGGAACAGGTGTTTCTGGTCATCTGGCTGCAGCACTTGGGGACACCATGTTGCTGCCCTGAATGCCACTCCCATTCTTGAAGCTGCCCTGGCTGGAGCTCACCCCACCCGGCACCCGCTCTGTGCTTCCCGCTGCCCTGCCCAGTCTCCCCACTGCGGCCCCACCATGTCTTTCCCAAGGTGGCATGTCCCTTACGTGCTCTCTTTGCTCCCTACAGAACGGCCACCTACAGCAGTGCCTGGATGCCGTGCGGAGGGAGTTTACCGTTTTCAACAGAGAGAAGTACATGCCCCGCCCTGATGGGAAGA